TCCTGCTGACCAGCAGGTGTCTGTCAGATGGTAAGAACCTTCACTTACAGTAGATGTAGCCCAGTAAAGAATCCATTAAATTCTCCTTTTGCCCTTCCTTGCTTTGGTGTTTCCCTGACCATGATAATGAAAAGGCAAGGTTCAGAGAGGCAGGAGACATAACTCTCTCACTCTCCTCTGCTCCAGACCACTCACCCCAAGGATCCTGACTCAGAGTCAGGTTCCTGGCAACACATCCTTTTTCTCTGGTTCTGGGCATAGAAGAAACTCCCCACTCCCAGATAAAGAGCTGATCTAGCCCTGCTACTGTACAAATCCTTTCTGTCTGGGCTGGCAAGCATAGCACCTTCCTTTGGCTAGAGGGAGAGGGCTAACTTCTTTACTTCCAGTGTCTAGTTGTACAGTCTATCACAATTAGGCATACATTTTGTACACAAAAAGTGGATTAAAAATTTTAATAATATTGATTGATTTGGGAGAGGATGCTAATTGGAAGAGAACCCTAAACCTTTTACTAGCAGAGAGATGGCACCAAAGGCATTCTGGAGTGGCAAAATGGTGGCTAAGATTTGATTTGGGTTACTTGAGCCTAGTGTCCCAGACACCCAGCAGTATGTTGTGCCCATAAACTAAGACTGGTAGAAGCTCTTGAGCAGCAATTAAGAAATATCTGTCTGATGATCAGTCCATTCCTGTTGTCTTTAATGGAAATGCAGCCTATGGCATAGCGTGACTGAATTTGTCCCTCTGCATGGTGCACAGCAATAAATCAACTTGTGGCAGTAATTGTATTTACAGTACAGCTCTGTGATTGAATGTGAAAGTACATTAATAATGGATAATAGTGGAGAATTTTATGACCAATAATAGCATGTGAAGCTATACACACTGAGAGAAAAGTAATCAAATCTCATGCATCAAGGAGTAAAGCTTAGTTCCTGGAAGAATAGAAGGGAGTTCTCTTCCCCTTCTCCTGCACATGTCTTGCTCTGACAGACACAGCTGGTTAGATGCACTGTCTACCTTAGACATTTTGGGTGTTGGTCCCTCTTTGGGAGTGGGATCATCAGATCTGAGAAACTTGTGATCTGATTCAGTATGGCAGATCCTGTGGTCCAAGCCCAGTTGGCTTCTCTGTCATGACCTTTCCCCCTTATTACAGGAAATCCAGGCTGCTCTTAAAAGAGAAGTCAGCAGAACCCTTTGATTGTATATTCATGGGAGTTTTACCTTTGGTCTCATAGGGAAGCTGCCTCCAGCCCTAAATAAATCTACTGCTCAAGTGGTTCCCACTTTCAGCACCCAGGGACCCTACTTAGGATCAAGGCTGTTTGGTGCTTAGCAGGATCAGGCTCGTAGCATGTAGAGAGTTTTTCGGTAGTGTGATCCTGCCACCTCTCCTGTGTCCCTGAAGTTACCTTCAGGAGGACAGTACCAGTGCCTTCCTTCACTCTCCTAATTCCCAGGCCCAGGGTGTTTCACATATTGTCCTGCGACACTTTCGCACACGAGGCTTCGGAGAAGGCAGTGCTGCAGCTGAGCAAGCCAGGAAGCAAAGGAGCTGTGCCAGCAGCTAAGATGAATGGTGGCACCTTGAGCATGGTACAGCCTGGCATTTCAGATGTGTGTACTTCATGGCAACGCTGCCTTGAGCTGCATTCTCTCTTTTATGCCATCAGCAAAAATCTTCCAAGCTTGTGTTCATCCAGGAAGCTCATTGTCTTCTAGAGGAGTCAAACAGATTAAAATTGCTATTAGGATGTGATTTATTGGAAGTGGGCCTTGCTTTAGATGACACAAAATTGACAGGATTTAAAAAGAAAATCAGGGCAGATTCTGACCTATTTATGCCTTTTGAAATCCAAAGTAGCCTTCCTAATGTGGAGATTGGCAGTTAACAGACAGTAGTTGTTAAACTGGTATTGGAGACATAATTCACATTTCTAAGACTCAGAAATATGTTGGATCACTTTTTGGTAACTGAGCCAATACAAACTATATAATGCTGGCTGTGTTCCGTTAATTAAATAGCAATGAGCTAGCAAAATTAGGCTTAACTGTACGTAATAAATGGTATTACTGCCTCATAGAAGCTTGAATGCAAATTTTCCTCTTATAGCAACTTTAACAAGGACTTTTTAAAAATAAATCTTTGAATCCCTTAAGAATTGGATAGTTTCCTGTCAATATCATTCTGTTCAGCTTTGGAAATCTCTTGCCCTCTCCTATTGCATTTCATTGTATAAAAATGGGTGGGTTTGATTAATGTTGCCAACTGACCTAGCTCCTGCACGTGGACAGCAATAGGTTTGTGTGCACTAGAAGCAAGGCAGTGCAGAAGTCCAGCATTGCTGGAACAGCAAAATGAGATTTGAGGTTCTTTGAGAAATACGGTGAAACTCAGGTGCTTGAAACCTATTGCAGAAGAAGCAGAGAACCTGGTCTGAGGAGCACTGACAGACCTTAGAGTTAGCAGGCATGCTGCGGAAATGCCAGACAGGGCTGAAATTGGGAAGCGGGGAGAGTGAGGTCCCTGTACAGTGTCTGTGTCTGTGTTGTGTCAGTCCTGGCTTTTCATAAGAAAAGAAACAATCCAATTTATTGCAAATGCTAAAATAACATCAGGGGAAATACTAACAAACTGCTTCAGCTCAGCAACTTCTGCCTTCCTTGGTCAGCCACCGGCACTGTTTTCATTGAAAAGAAAAAAAAAAAGTAAAATGAAACAAAGCAGGTTAAACAAATAGCCTCCCTCCTCTGGAACCTCAAATATCAAATTAATCCTCGACTCTCCCTCTAGGAATCTTTTTTTATAATAAAAGCTAACATGCATGACTCCTGAATTTTCATTACCCAGCTCATTGACTTGGATCTGATTTATTTATTATTATTATTATTATTGTTTTATCCCTTGCCCCTGCTTTTTTTTAATATTTCTTTTTCTTTTTGCTTGCCACATTTGAGTGTCAAGTGCTGACGCAAGCTTATTCTGATGGGGCTCTTGGTGCCAGACTGAGAGATCGGGATGCTTTTACATTCCTAATTAGGAAAAAATGAAAAGGGTTTAGGGGCATGAGAGCCTGCATATGGCTAGATGTATGAACCATGGGTGAAACCCTCAGAAGACTCTTGCCCCCCAGCTGTGTTAAATAATAAAAGCTGTGCAGAATGTTAAACGAAACAGCCATTGCTTTAAATGGCCTAAATATTTTTGTTAAATGTCCTAATAATAAAACCATAAGGAACATTGCTATGGCAGAGACATCTGAAGACAAAGAGAGGGAGAGAAATCTGGGTTTTAGCTGGTGATGTCCCCTTTGCTGCCATAGGATTTAATTAAGTGCAAACCCTTATTAGCCTGGGATACTATTCAGGTGGAAATGGTAAGGTCTCTTCATAAAGCAAAGCTTTCTGCTCCCTTTGGCTCAGCTGGGTTTGTCACAAATGACCATTTTAACATCTCTGAGCTTGGAATAAGGCCCCTGTCCACTAAAGGAAGAGCGCTGAAGCACATCCTTTTCCATTTTTCATGGAAGCATGCTGTGCTCTACCACCATCCGACTGGGAGGTGGTTAGCAACGTTAGTCTGAAATCAGGCAGAAGGCAGGTCAAGGTGACACCTTATGGACTGACTGGTTTAGAGAGGTATGAGCTTTCATAGGCTCATTAGATGGACAATATACCTTTTACCACCTATACTTCCTGGGAGCCCTGTTTCCAACTTGTAGTAGACACCTCTTTCTACATCTACATTAATGTTCCTTTGTGCTAAGCTTGGCTATGTGTAACAGTCTCTCTCCTCCACTGCACACAGACTGTTCACAGCTGTTTCCACTTGACAACTGTTTCTACTTCTTCTCTTAGGCTAAAGTGCCACAACAAATGCACCAAAGAGGCCCCTCCCTGCCACCTACTGATCATCCATCGCGGAGGTAAGAATTCCTTTTACATCTTTGGCTTTCTGGATATTTTCGTCAGGTAAAATTTTTCAGGAGCACCTAAGTGACATAGGAGCCTAATTCCCCATTGAGAGACAATGGGGTGCAGGCTCCTAAATCACTTGGGCACCTTGGAAAGTGTTACCGACCATCTTTTCCGCTTATAGGGAGACGAGCTGTCCGATGCGAGGCAGATTTGCATTCCAAACCACTTCCACCCACCCTTCCCCTGCCACCCTTTCTTTTCAGATTCCCCACAACACGGGGTAAGTGCAACAGGTTTTAGCCTTTTGCTAACGTTGAAAGCTGGCCTGGGTGGAAGTTTGGGGCCATAGATCTGCAGTGGCTCTGTTGATGCATGCGGGTCTCATTTCACTACACGGAGCAGCAGTGTTCATGTCAGGCAGTGGCACATTCAGATGCTAATTGCGCTATTGAAATCCTCTGCCTTCCTCTCCTCCAGGAGAGCAGTTCATAAATATGAAAAGGAAGTGGGCACATTTACAAATCCAGAAGGGAAGAAGGGAAACAGTGCACCAAGAAGAGTTCCTTTCCCCCCACCCTTTTCGTTCACATTTTGGCTAAGCATTCCCAGTGCAAAAGGGAGGAGAGTTGGAGATTACCTCAGGGAAGATCTTTAAATTAAGATTCCAAATATGCATTTAATTTTAGATCTAATCAGGCTTTTCTCGTATATTAAATACCATCTGATTTTTAAAAATATATTCAAAGAATATATTTCTTTTTTGTGAGCTGTTTTTTTAATAAGTTCGTTTATTGCACCTAATGAGGCCAGTCCTGCTCTAGAAAAATGGAAATGGAACATAGTCCAGTTCAGAGTTGGCTAACTGCTTTTCAGCTATGGGCTGCCCTGTATGGTCTTGCTGGTAGGGAAGAGCCAGGACTTAATGAATATGTAGGAATAGTTTTTTGTAGTTGTGTGACACACGTAGACCATGGGGTTCTCTTGGACACACTAGCTCCAAGAATGACTACCAGCCTGCCCTGATTGAGTCGTTACGCAAGGGGCATTTGTTGGAGTTGCTACACAAGGGGCTTCGAGACCTGCTCTAATGAAAGTGCCCTCAGCATCCCATGTATCAGCATCCCCGTATGCCATTTTGCAGTGCGGTGACACTGATGCATGAGATGGGTAGGCTGGTTGGAGTGTGCTAATTAGCACATTCCAGCAGACTCAATTAATTGAGTCTGCTCCGATGTACTGTAATTACCCAATGTACCCAAGGGTCCTGAAACCTGGTCTAGTAGCAAGCAGCTAAGGGAGGAAACCACTGATCATGCTTCATGGCTCTGCCTCTCTGTAAACTCAGTGGTTCCTGAGTTGCTGGCTTTGCTCACCATTTCTGATGCCAGCCTTTTGGAAGGTTATTTTCTTTTTTATTCTAGGTCAGTCTCCCACCTGCATCCTTGTCAACTGCCGACAGTTAGAGAGAAAACTAGGTGACTCTTCACCTCAGCTACTGCCATGAAAAGCCCAGTCAGTGTCAATGTCAACCACTGTCCTGGGAGTCCTTTCCTGCAGAAGTGCTCTGAGTGTCCTGCTTCATAAATGAGCATCACCCATCCCCATCCCTTTGGGAAACTACAAATCAGAGACAAAGAACATGTCCTTCTCCATGTGGGAAAAGTAAAAGTATTCTGAAAATATGGAGGCAGTAGTGCTTAATGATAAACAGGTGGAAGGGAGAGAGGAAAAAAGTTTACAGCTGTCAGTTAAGATTTGCAAAGGGGAGGCTCTGAGCCAGTCCCTAGGAGGGGGTGAGGCCCCTATGCATGGCCAGAGCAAAGTCCCAGTTGCCTGCTGAATTGTAGCCTGGAGGCTGGTTCTTGGGAACAGGGTGGTGTCAGAGCAAAAGTTAACACCTAGATGATGTTCAAAACACAGAAAGGTGGCGAGGGTCTCTTTTACTTGTCTCCTTTGACTAGTCTGTATCATAGTACTAGCTAAGCAGCATTAGAGGATGCAATAACATGAAACTATGGCTCTCTCCATTCCCTCTCTCCTGGGCTGGTGTTCAGAGTAAAAAAGCCAAGCTGCCAGAGGTTAGGCACTGAAACTGCTCAGCCTGAGGTTCAGTGCTGTCTGCTCCAAGGGATGGAGCCTGAACCCCAAACATTTCCCCCTAGTCTCCCAAGCTGGAACTTGGTCTAACAGTTCCTTACTGGAGTTTAGACAGCACCCCTTGATCCTGCTACAAGTGGGTTCAGGGCACTGTTCCCTTACTGGTACAAATTAGGAGTCATTTAACTGGAATTGCTGTAAAACTGGTGCAAGGCAGAGAACAGTACTGAAGACTGCAAACAGACTCTAGTAGCCAGGGTGTGTAATTGCTGGTGGTGTGAATTCACAAGTATTTACTCTGGCTTATAAGAGAATGCACAATGAGTAGTCCACCTTCTGCACTGTTGACACTAGCCATTGATCAAAATAAAGCCAACTTGTTCCTCTTCTAATGGTGCTTTGACTGCCTCTTGATCCCTTAGGCATTAGCCCAGAGTGTGCTTGGAATAGCTTTTGAAGGCTTTCACTGCAGAACATTGTGGGTGAGGCCAGGGAAGCTGGCAGTTTGGGGAAGAACTGTTCAGCTTTTAAGTGAAGAGATTACAAGGGGGACTTTGAAATTTAGCTTAGTCATTACAAATTCTGGAAGCAGATCGGAAGTCTTCAAGTGCAGGGCTCCTCCAGAGTGACCTGCATGCAAAGCTGAAGTTTTGTTTTAAAACATTGATTTCTTTCTCTTTTTTTAACCCCCCCCCCCCTTCTCCCATCTCCCTTCTTGATCCAGCAAGATTAGTCCGAACAGAGTCTGTGCCGTGTGATATCAACAATCCTTTAAGGAAGCCACCCAGGTATTCTGACCTACACGTGAGCCAGACGCTACCCAAAACCAACAAAATTAACAAGGTGAGATGTGCTGCTTTCCTTTCACCCAGGCTGTTCATTTTGTCTTCCATCTATTGGGAACAGATGCAAATACAATCTCAGGTCACAAGCAAGATGTAAATTGCTTCAGACTTCCCAATGCACACACATGAACAGATTCCTTCTCCCCACCATCTTCTCCATAAGAAACTGCCAGGCTTCACAGTGTGTAGTGTGCCAATCTGTTTATGGTATCATTGTCATGGTTACAGCAGCCAGTTGTGAAGTTGCATTTGGGGGAATAAGAAACAGGCACAGACAAGCTGTTGAGAGAGAGTGGTTCTGCTTTTGTGCCAGTGACCTTAATTCTAAAGCATTAAAGATGAGAGACACTGAAAGATGACTAAGAAATTTTGTCTCCAAGCAAGCTGTTTTCCAGCATTTTCCAAAGGGTGCAAGCAGGTGTTTAAACATAGAAGTAAACTGTACATTTACAGATCCCTTGTTTGCAATGCAAGTGTGTCAGAGCTTGTGAAAGGAAACAAAAATGGTTTGGATCCCCACGGTAATCAGCATTCCTTAAAGAGTTGCCCTGTATGCTGGCGATTCTGTTGCAGATCTGAATATGGTCCATGTGGTTCATTGATGAATCTTTCTTCCCTCCCCTTGAAATCAATTAGATAACAGGGGAATAAGGGAAGCAGAATTTAGCTCCATATGTTGGAACTTCACTTGTTACTTCTGTACCAACCATTACCTGCTTGGCTCATTAGAGACGGAATGATGGACTTGTGGTAAATCCCAGCACTGGGAGTTGTGACCCGAGTTTCTGTTCCTATTTCTATCACTGACTTTTTGTGATACCACAGGCAGATCAATTAACCTTTCTGTCTGCCTCAGTTTCCCCATCTATAAAATAGAAATAACACAGGAAGGCTGTGACACTTAATCTATTTGGCTAAAAGGCTCTAGAGAAAAGCCAGCTGTTGTAGTTAGTTTTCCTCCTTTTTAATTCTGTAGCAAGATGGACCTAGATGCTTTTCACAGGGAGAAAGGAAAGTGAAGAGGGCTGTGGAAGTTAGAGATCTGTACAGCAGTTCCTTCCTTGCTCATGTAGAGCTCATAGACATTCATGGCAGTGTTCACAAGTGGTCAGTGAAAATCCGTCTCTATTAGCAGGTGTTCACCTGTTTCATTTCAGGGAAATGTGTGCATTGCTGACTGCGGGCTTGTCTGCATGTGGAGTCACTCTGTTCTAACATGGCTGTTTCATTCTTATTCCGGAATAAGCATGTCCTGTTGCTGTATAGCTTTTACCACGTTGAAAGGTTTTTCCTGGTTGTTAGCTGCCACTTTCTTTCTTTTTTTACCTCCACCTACTGAGTTGATAACTGCAAACTGCTTTGTCTTTGCTTCACTTCAAGTTAGTGAATATGTGTTCAAAACACATTTCCTTTGCCTTGTGAGGGCAAGGCTGAAGGTGCAATGACCTCTTGTGATTATGAGAAGTTCTCTGACCCTTCAAGGCTGCCAGGTTTCTTCACTATTCTGTTTCCCTTTCACCTTCTGGCCTCCCCTCCAAGGCTTATGAATCTGCCTGTTATCTTAGTACCTGTTGTGGGCAATTCTGTCAGTGCAGCAGTCGGCACTGCAGGCACAGTGTGAGGCTGAGCTGTGTTGTCCTGCTTGGAGGTGAGTAGCTTCTGCTTCCTTTTTGCCAGTAGTTCCCAAGCTAGGGCTTGCAGTCCTGGGTGGGGTTGTGACATTTAGGAGTGGGGTTGTGAGCCTCACAGAGCCCCAAATACTTTGTGTCTGTGATTAACAGGGGTGGGGATTTACCTGGCCTTACCTGCTCTGCAGTAACTGTACCTCATAGTAAGTGAAACCTCAACTGGGTAAGAGCCCTGTCTCATTCAGGGGTGATCTATCCCAGGTTAGATCTCTCCCTGGGGTAATTATGGGCACAGGGAGAGTTATCATGCAGAAGTGATGTAAATCCCTGCCTCCACTTAAGGCCAGGTGGATTATCGGTGCTAACTATATGGAGCTGTATAAAGTTATTTCCTCCTGTAAGTGGGGTTTCAACCAGAAGTTTGGGAATTGCTTCACTCAGCCTTGTTTAGCTCAAAAGCAATGCCTGCCTTCTGATGGGCAGGGTGGAGCACAGCAGGTCCTGGGAAATGTAGTGTGAACTGAATATTGATGGCTTGCATCATGTATATAGTTGTGATATACAGAGAGGACAGCCTGCAAAGATCTCCACAATGCACAAAGGCTGACTCCTACTCCATGTAGTAATAATACCTATGAGTCACCAATTTGTCTGAAGTGCCTCACAGGTACTAATGAGTTACAACTCTTATGAGCTAGATAAATATTATTGCTTCTGTTGTACAGAAGGGAACACCAATGGCAAGGTGAAAAAAGGGTAATTTTTTAAACGCTGATTAATTTAGGGTGCCCAGAATGTGACTCTCTGAGTCTGGCTTTCAGAGGTGCTGAGGTCCTGCAACTTCCATTGAGTTCAGCTGGAGATTTGAACATATTGCATTTCTGCAAGAGGTTTCCAGCTGAGTGCTGGACAATAGGGATCTGTCTGCAAATATAAGGTTACGAGGCTTGCCCGAAATAAGTCCATCACCAAGATGGAGATCAGAAATCCTGACTCCACAGAGCCTGCTCTACCAGTCTGAGCATGTGCATCATTAAACAATGAATTAGAACATGCCTTTGCCAGGGGGAGCACCAGTATATAAACCTGATCTATTGCCCTTATTGGAGCTGTCTTGCCCTCACCTTGCTCTCACTGCTTATGAGATCACCTCCTGTTGAAAAAGGAAATGAGGAAGGTGTGTCCTCCCCACAGAAGCGCATTGAATTCAGAGTCCAGCCTATTTCTATTGGTCAGTCAGCTCCTTCCATCTGAAGACCTCCAGCAGTAACTAAAGTTTCACAGCACCTCTCTGAAGGTGGTAGGTTAAGTACCATTATCCTCAATAGCTGAGAAACTAGGGCATGGAGGTATTGTGGCTTGACCAGGGGCACAGAGAGAGTCAGAATTGGACTTACCACCCAAATATTGTGACCTTTAGTCCTGGCTGTAACTGATAGGCTCTTCCACTTCTCTAGCTGTATAATCTCATTATCCATGGCTACATGATACAGTTTTAAAGGTGAAGCTCTACATTCTGCCTGTTTGACCTGGAGATTAGCCTTTCTGAGACCAAGAGCCCAATCCTGCTCTCATCCAAGCCAATAGGAAAACTCTCATATGAGAGTCCCTATGTTTTGATATCGTGGGGAGGGTGAAATCTCATGAGTCATGGGCCACTGGTGCCTCTCGAGTCTGGGGGGGCATCAGTGGGGCATTACCGGGGTGGATCCCCTAGCGGCTGGTTGCCAAGCACACCGGCAGAGCCAAATTCAGGGGGGACACAAGCACTCTCCATGCCCCTCTACCAGCTGGAGCACTCACTGTCAGGGAGGGCACCAGCGCTCTTGTGGGGGGGAAGAGGGCACATGCCCCCTCATGCCTCCCTATGTGTCACCTATGTCATGAGCGGAGAGTTAGGGAGCCTTCACCTTCTGGTTTGCGCTGGTTGGTGGCACTGCCTGCAGATGCCAAAAAGGATCACATTCCTCTGTCTGTCATGGAAACATGGATATTTTGGAGGGGAGGGAGACTAGCAGATTTTTGTCTCTGAAATAGTACCTCCCAGTTTGCTCAATGGTCTGTTCAGCCATCTGCTGGGGCAAAACTTCGCAGATGGCTTTTTGTGTTTCCAGGCACGTCTGTTTATCCAAATCACTAAGGAACTGATATGTATTTCATTGTATCTGGTAGAAGCCCTGTTTAGGGGGATGTAAACCAATGAATCAAAGAGCTGCATTAATTGATGTAGCAGCCCTGGACCCTCTACAGCAAGCAAGGATGCTAACTGTATTGAGGTCAGTGGCTGTACTGCAAACACAACATACAAAGGGCTCTTTTGTTAAAATGTTTGTCCCCTAGTGCTGCCTTGTTTTGTTCTTTATTTCTTGTGGTGGGATTCAGACTTTTCTTACAGTCCCTGGGCTAAATTCTGTTCTCAGTTGAATGGTGTAAAACTGAAGTAGACTCATTGTCTTTTAAGTGTTACTCCAGATTTATACTGGTATAAATGACAGCAGCACTTGGCTCCCTATCTCTCTATCCTCCATATCAGAGTTACTGCATGTAAAACACTGGTAAAGGTAGAGCCAAGATTAGGTTGGAACATAGAGTATCTAAGGCTCCACATGTCAAGTTTTTCAATGTGTTTGCCATCAGGGAAAAAGCAACATTTGCAAAGGTTATTTTCTTTAACAGCTTAAGAATAAAATAGGATCAGTGTTTTCAAAATAGCTTGTGTCCTACCAGTTGTACTCCATTTCAGCTTGTAACTCTCCAGAGGCATGAAATATAACCTGAATTCTGGATGGTTCATGCTCTCCGTTCTGTCTGAAACTTCAATAATATGTATTAAAAATAAAACATACAGAAGCACAAGAATTTGATCATGTTCTTGACAAAGCTGATAAAACCAGACCTAGCAGTGCACCTGGCTCATTCTTTCTGCTGCTCTGTATTAGCAGTGGTAGAAAATGCACAGATTTATTTTAGATTAAATTTGATGTAGCCTGTTGCTTGCATCAGGGATTCTTTACACTATTTGTATGCAGTCCTCTGTTTCCCTAATCTTGTTGCATGAGATGAGAAGGATCAGGCCCTAACAGTGACAGAGTAGTGTAGCAGAGCTGGGGACCAGATGTGGCAGGGTCTCCCCCTGGTGACCTCTCAGCTCTCCACCTCTGGGTCTTGGTTCTCTCCCTTCTTACTGACCTGCCATGCCTACTTTAAGAGAAAAAGGAGTTGGGGGGAGTTGCCCACATCCCAGGGTTTCGCTGGTCTGACCTACTCATCCACACAACTTTTCTGTACACATCGTCTCCCATTGGCTATCTGTGGCCTCCAACTTCCCCTCTAGCCATGCCCATGTCTCGCAGGTGTTAACAAGTGATCAGTTCAGCAGGCCCCTGGGACCCTTCTCCACCCTGCCAGGTATATAAGCTGCTAATCAGTCTCTGCCCTTCCCAATGCAAAGTTCAGCTATGGGTCCTTGGCCCTTGCCTCCAGCCTCCTTGGGTTGTGGGCCTCTGGCCCTAATCTCCACCCCTCTTGGGACCACAGGTTCCTGACCCTGGCTTCACCTTATTCTGGTGCTGGTCCTCTGGCTCAGTCTCTTCCCCACATCTCCTCACACTGGGCAGCCAGCACTGGCTCTCCCCCTCTCGGGGTATACTGTTGCTTGGGCCCCAGCCTTGACGGGCTCAAGCGTGACTGTGCCCCTGAGCACTATTGGGACCTCCTCCTCCCCTGATCAGTCCCAAACCTGGTCCACTAGTGCAACTCATAACAGAAAAGTTCAGCCCTTTGGCTATAATCAAAATCAGGCTGCATAAGGAAGTTCAGCTCACAGGCAACTCATAGTTCCTTAGTACTTTGCCTGTTGTGAGGTCTTGGATGGTCTCTCAGCCCAGGTGTAGTACTGAGCCCCCTCTTTGGCAGTGGAGCAGTTAGGATTCATGAGACAGTCTCCCAGTCACAGTCATCACAGGGAAGCTCCTTTCCTGGCAGGCTGCATAGACAGACTGCCTCCTGGTCTCAAGCCTGAGCTTATATAGGGCCTAGGTCCAACCTCGCCTTCTCTCAGCCACCACATGTCTTTCTTTAGGCTAATTAGCTGGCCTTCAGAGCTGCTCCAAGCTGTGGGTGACATGAGCTAACTGCCCTGCTTCGCAGTACCTTGCTGTAGGCAGACCATAGTCCTTCACCCGTCTCTGCCCTAATGGACTATTGCTGTGCTACTACTTCAGCAATAAGTACCTCTCCAGCCTAGGATCCAGGCAGCTTGTCCTTCTGCTACTCTTCAGTGAGCATCCTAGTC